GGCGGGCGGCGGGAAGGCCGGGGCCGAGGGTCATGGCGGGGTCGGCCCCGCGTGATCCATTCCCGGGGCCCCCGCCGCCCGGGCCGGGGGCGGGGGGTGGGGCGGGGCCTCGGCCGGGCGGCCGCCCATTGGCCGCGGGGCCCCGAGGAAGGCGGGCGGGCCAATCACCGTCTGGCGGGGGCCGTAATCGCCTCGCGGCGGGGAGAGTGTAGGACCGAGCGTGAGTAACTGTGCGCGCGCTCGCGAGTGTGGTATGTACGTGTGTGCACGTGGGTGTGCGCGCGCGTGTGTGTGCGTGTGGATGTGCGTGTGCATGGGGGGCGTGAAGACCCCGGGACTTCCAGGAAAGCGTCAGAGGCTGGGCCACAGCCATTTGTTTCAAGACTGTGGCTGCAAAGCTGTGGCATATTTCAATATTTACATTTAATAAAATATGCTTTCCACGCCGAATATGGTGCCGTAGAACTCTCTAGTTCCCAGGCTCAGACCCAGAACGTAAGGAAATGTTCGCCCCCACCCCCGCTCCTGGCGCCCGAAGGCCCGCACAGCGAGAGTGGCTCCCCAGCGACCGGCTCCCCGGGAGGCCCGGGACTTAGTCGGGGAGCGTGGGCCACTGCCCCTGGCCGCGGAGCTCTTGGGGGCAGGCCCCATCCCTCACTGAGCCTCCGTTTCTGGATGTGAACCCGTGGGGAGTCTCCTCCCCCTTTCTGCAGCAGGGAGCGCGGGGACAAGAGTGCATTCCGGCCCAGCCGTCACCCTCGGAGCTGTGTCCGCTCAGGAGTAACCTTGTGACCAGGCTCGCAGCCCTATCGCGCGGGTGGAGCCGGCTTCATCTAACGCGGGTTATCTCAATGAGATATGTCCTGACCCTCAGTGCCAGCCAGGGGCCCCCAGTCCAACCGAGTGCTGCCCGCCTTCTCCAGGAGGGCTGCAGGCCTGGATTGTTTCAAGTTTCCGATCAGCCACCCGGAGGAGCATCAACCCCATTTTCCAGAGGGGGAAACAGAGGGAGGCGAGGAGAGACTACCCCAGATGGTAAGTGGCTCTAGCGGGCCTGTAACTCTGGAGCTGTGGGTCTATAGTGGGCACCAGGTCCCCGGAGTCCGATGCCGGAGCCGAGGAGTGAAGCCCAGACATCAGGCCAGGACAAGGTGAAGCTGGTCAGGCTCTGCGATGCTGCAGGTCTCCAGGGCATTTCCTGGCATGCCTGCCTCCAACCAGCTTCCCCTGGTCAGCCCCTCACTAGCCCAGGAGCTCGGGTGCTGGGACCAACATGGGGGGTGCATTTCAGCAGCCTCGACAAGCAGGTGCTGTGCCCATCTTCTCTGGTCTTCACATCCCGCCCCTGAAGGGGCAAAGATGGTCAAAGACAGGAACTCACCCCAGCCTGGAGGCAGACACTGGGATGAGGGCTCTTCCCACTTTGTGTAGATAAGGACACTGAGCAAAAGTGACAAGAGCTGGGGTCTTAGGGAAGAGTTGGGGTCTGCCAAGTATTGTTCCCTGGGGGCAGCCAGGGTAAGAGAAACTCCGGCAAGGGAGAGCCAGAAGGGGCTAAGCCCAGGGAAGAAATGGCAGCCTCAGTCCTTTGATAAGTGCTACCCTGGGCAAGTCACACAGTCTAATTGGGGGGCACTTCGGATAGTTGGGAGGAAACTGAGGCCAGAGAGGGACCCAGATAAGAAAACAATGGCTGTGAGGATGGGTGCCTTCCAGATAACCACCGACTTTAGGCCAAGTTGTCCTGGGGCCACTTTCAGCATGCTTCTTGAACCACAAGCCTGAGAGGTTCGTGCCCAGTTTATTCCCATTATTTCCAAGCACCTTGAGAGTGGGGCCTTTCTGGGGAGTCTGGGTTTTGATTCTCTCTGCTCTCAGGCTGTGTGGCCCTGGGCGCCAGGGCTGTGGGGGCGGTGGTTCTGATCTGGGTTTTTTCTCCTATGAACCTCTGGTAGTAAGCACCCAGCCACGCAGGCTCTTGCGAGGGAGGCTGGGTACTCCCCGGAGGGGGACCCAGGCACCCCGGCTCTCCAGGGTCGCGGCACTGCCCCACTGCCTCTGCCGAGCCGGGGGACGAAGGAAGGTCGTGGTGGGAGGCGAGGGGTAGGCTGAACACAAGCGGAGAAGCCAGAGGCCTCCTCGGCGGCCAGCCCGGGGTTGCGGAGGGCGCTTCTCCACGGCCGGCACCGGTTCGCCACGACTGCAACGGCTGAGCGCCAGCGCACTGCGCGGTCCTCCAAGAGCGGCCAGATGGTTGCCGCTGGGGCACGGGATCCCTTAGGGAGGAGAGGGAGCCGCAGGGTGCTCGCCCAGGCCTCCCACCTCTGTGTGCTGCGCAGGTCCCCGAGCCAGAGCCCCGCAGCCCAACGGCAGCCCTGCGTCGAGGTGAACAGAGAGGCGGGTTCCTAGACAGGATTGCGGGAAGAGGCGGGGGCCGGGATCACCGCCACGGAGGCTTTGCGCCTTCCGCCTGGCGGGTAGCTCTGAGGGGCTCTCTGTTCTCAACCCCAGAACATTCTCCTGTCCTGGCACTCTCTCCAGACTGACACTGCCCCATGGGGACCCTGACCTGAGCGGGGTTTCTGGCACTCAGCGGGCCAGAGCGCAGTCTTCTGATCACCTGTAAGCACCGCGCAGAGGGACTCCCGGTAGTCCCCTCTCTGCATCTCTGCCTCCGTAACTGCCCTTCCTTACTTCTCTGTCTACTCTTGTCCTTCCTTACCAGCTCCAACTCTCCCCTTCCCCTGTGCAGGGGGACCCCCACAGAGTCCCAGCAAATGGTCCCAGAGGACACCCAGTGCTCTTCTCAGCTGGACAGTGAGTAGAGACCCAGCCTCATTACCCAAGTCCCAACTGCAGAGCCTGGGGCCAGTCACCACAGATGCCCCTTAACGCAAAGAAGTGTTGATGGGAATCATCCCAGCAGCTGGGATAGGGAGCCAGCAGACTGTGGCCGGCCACCACCTGTTGTGTTTGGTCTTAATAAGCTTTTCCTTTTTAAGAATAATTTTAGGGGGGCGCCTGGGTGGCTCAGTGGGTTAAAGCCTCTGCCTTTGGCTCTGGTCATGATCCCAGCGTCCAGGGATCGAGCCCCACATCAGGCGCTCTGCTCAGCAGGAAGCCTGCTTCCTCCTCTCTCTCTCTGCCTGCCTCTCTGCCTACTTGTGATCTCTGTCTGTCCAATAAATAAATAAAATCTTAAAAAAATAAAAAAAATTTTAGGGAATGTCCGCTTTTATGTATTCATTCTTATGTTTAAATAATCTCTACACCCAACATGGGGAATGTCCACCTTTAAATTCAAATTTTGTCTTACTCTTGCTCCCTTCATCTCTGACCCCAATCCCGTTTGTCCTTAGCTCACCCCCATGCTGCCCTGCATATGAGCTCTTGCGCATTAATTTACATTCCATACCTCCCCTACCTCTTATTTTCTTTTTACCTTAAAGCATAAATTTGAGATCTCTCTGCGCTCAGTTTTAAATTACTATGTTCTAACCCAACAGCCACATATGCCATTGTTCCAGTTACTGTGGCCGTGTCACAGGTTTCCCCAAAACTTAGCGATGAAAAACAGCGATCTGTTAGTGGCCCGTGGGGTCTGCGGGTTGGGGCTAGCTTGTCTCCAGTGGAAGACTTGAACTTGGGGATAGGGGATGACGTCTGGACTCATCTGAGGGCCAGGTGGTGGTGGCTCATTTATCCGAGGGCTGGGGCTGGAGTCTGCTGAGGAAGCCCTACATGGGTCCTCTCCGTGTGACCTGGCTCCCACACAGCTTGGGTTTCCAGAACAAATGCAGGGGTGGGGGGCAGAGGGAGAGGCACGCAGACCTGGGAATTCAGAGCATCTCTCCTCTGTGCTCTGTGGACTGCAGTAGTCCCAGAGCTCTTCAGGGCTCACAGCGAAGGGGCCGGGACCCCATCTCTCAGTAAGAGGATCCTCAGATGGTGGGTTGGGTAATCTTCTGTAGTTGGTCAGAAAGAGACACAAACGCGCCATACGGAGCGCGGGCTGCCCCGTTGGGGACGTTCAGTTTGCCACCCGCTTCTGCTATTGTCCATGTCGCTGGCAAGAACACACCTGCCAGAATTTCTGAGAGCTCTCTAGGGGTGCATGTATCCAGAAGGGCACCCCTGGGCTAAAGGGTCCAGAGAGACCCAACATTGCTCAGCGATATCAAAAGAGTCTTCAAAACAGCTCCCTCAGTGCCCATGTCCACACATCCTCATGAGCACTTGGTTTTGTCCGACGTTCTTCGGTGACGCTGTAACTGACACGTGTTTGGGAAATCAGTTGCTTTAAGCAGTGATTCTCTGGTCGCTCAGCGGATAAGGTGGCTGTGCCCCCAGAGGCAGGGAGATGAAGGGGACGTGGGAGAGCTGCTGGGGAGGAGAGAGCAGGGATCAGTCAAGAGGGCCTGTGCACAGAGAGCTGGAGAATAGAGCTCTTAGTCTGCAAAGCAATGGGGAGCCACTAAAGGCTGTTTGACCAGAGGAGGGTTAAAGCTGAG